TTTCCAGAGGATGTGCGATTTGGTCACCACTTCTATCAGATTTCTGCTTGGGTCTATAAACCGTACGATGCTGTTTTCTGTTACGATGCGTTTTCAATTCGCTGTTAGTCGCCTATCTTCCGCGCTACGCTTCTTTTGTTACTAACAAGCACATTTTTATCAGTGTGGCTGTTCTGTGATGGTGTGCCACTTTTGTGATTTCTAATCTGTTGAGACCATCCACGATTTTGTTACTAACAACTAGAGAGATTCTTTCTCTCGTTTCCCCCGGCAGGAAATGATTCAGTAACACTTCATTCCTGTTATATATAGTTAGTTATTAATAAAAAACTGACAAACAAAGCGTGTTGCTCGTGTGAGTGTGAACTGAGTCGGTGAATCAGCCACCGTTTCATGTCCGTCCTTCAACCATTTCTTTTACCTCATTTCTTTTAACTCAATTCTTGAAGGATACTCAGGGTTCTTTTTTAGCCTCCAAACCTCCTACAAAATGAGCGGAGCACGCGATTTCGTAAGCTGGAGATTAATTATATTTCCTTCATAATATTTGTCATAATGTAGTTATGATATTGACTTTAGTCTTCCATTGCGAGAGCGCTTCTGCTGGGACACGAGAGGGAAGTGGTGCACCGACCAGAAGTGGTCAGTGGATATTGATGTGTTAACGATTGCGCTGTTCGCTTCATTGAAGAGGAAAGACGCTTTCAGGGGAATGTTCTGTCGCAACCAGCCGCTGAAGAGCGCCCTCAAGGTGAAAACTGCCTATGCAAGGCATTACAGGGCCTCTCGTACGCCATGCTCATGAGTGGTGAGGGAAGTGACCTTAGAGGGCGCCACCTCACCCCAGATGCGAGAGCCGTCATCGCCAACGTAAAGCAGTTCTTCGCTCAGCTGAAGGAACATCTTGGGGCCACAGCACGTGGAACCATTTTGGATTCAGTAACAGCGATAACTGCCACGGCATGCGGTGTGTCCGACAGAAGTTGTCGAACGGGTTAGTAACACACCGGTCGGCCGTGTGATCCGTCGATCGGCTTCGAAAAGTCGTTCCAGGAAAGCAACGGTCATGGCCGCCATAAATAACCACGGTACGCTATGGGGTGAGCGAATAAAGCGTCTGGTTCACGAACTGCTGAAGGAAGAGAAGGATGTAACACTCGCGGAACTGCACCAGCAAATGACTGCAGCCTATCCGAATTTCGCGCTGTCACAGATGACTCTGTGGAGGCTGATGAAGGGCCTCGGGTTCTCGTATAAGCTTCTCAAGGGACAACGATACATCTTCGAGCGCGCGGATCTTGCCCGCAAGCGATCCGTATACTTGAGAAAGGTAGAAGAGGCCCGAGGCAGAGGGGACTGCGTTGTCTACATGGACAAAACATGGGTCTTCGAAGGGATGGTCAAGAGG